CAAGCAAGTTCTGTGAAAGAAATAAATCACCTAAACCACCTAAAATTGGAAATTTCTATTTGTTTTCACCATAATCTAAAGAACACCACCAACGACAAAAGCAAGTCATATGTATATATGACTAAAACTCCAACGTAATTACCACCAAATTTACTTTTACTCAAACCCACCCCACTTAACCTGGATTATTGCCAATGAAATAGAACAAATTTTGTCCATTACCTTATTGTTTTTATTTACATTAATTAACAGATTGACATTGGCTCTGTTATTTTAAACAGTTTGACTTAGAGAAAAGTAACTGTTACAAGGGAAGGTTTTGGGAAATAGTCACTGAAGAAACAGACCACCGATTAAGGCCCAATCAGGAACACAGGAAGCATACTATAGTACTGAGGGAATTTAATAATAGGGTATTGTTACACAGGGGTTTGGAGGGAGTCTCCACACCAAAAAGAGGAACACTGAGGTAATCCAGCAATGTAAACTAGAAGGAGCCATTATCATCTTTAGAGTGGGGTAAACAAAGAGAAAAGTTTGGGTTATTAGAGCTCAGAAGCTCAGAGGTTAGGGTCCCTGCTGAGCGAGGGCTCAAACCTCTGAGAAGTGGGCACAGCCTGGCCAGTGCTGGTACCTCTGCGGAGATAGGAGGAGTCTGGTTCTTAGAATGTAAAAGTGGGAGGCTGGAGCCAACTGCTGTTGACAATGGAAAGGGCTGTTACTGCTGATGGGATGCTGGTAGGAAGCAGGAAGCAAACAGAAAGGATCAAGTCTCTTTGCCGCTACTCCTGCCTTCCACCATCCCTCCAGGGACTTCTATTGATAGAACCCACCAGGAAGCCAGCTGGTAAAGGAAAGAGAGTTTGCAGAGCCCCAAACCCAGTATTACAAACATGGAGTGTGGAAATGTCAATACGGATTAGAGAGAGGAGAGCTTAATAAACAGCACTAGGAGTAATTAGAGTGTTTTTTTTTTAATTATTTGAGAGAGAGAGAGAGAGAAAAAGAGAGAACAAGCAGGGGGTGGAGGAGGGGAAGAGGGAGAAGTAGACTCCTTGCTGAGCAGGGAGCCCAACACAGGGCTCAATCCCAGGACCCTGGGATCATGACCTGAGCCGAAGGCAGACGTTTAACCAACTGAGCCACCCAGGTCCCCCTAAATAGAAAGTCTTAAGCAATGGTCAGCTAATCATCTTCCAGCTTAAATAACTCAATATGATCATATGCTCAAGGCCTTAAAAAATTAATAAATTAATATTCTTCTGTTGACTTCATGATTAGACACACACTTGAGTATGCTATGTCACTATAGTTATCATTTAGTCATCCGGTCTGGGACTTACATGGCAGATACTGTTCTGGGCGGTTGGGTTTCAACAGTGAAAAAATAGATAGGTCCCCGCCCACCCTCATGGAACTTTCATTCTAGTGAAGGGAAAACAGACAATAAGTAAAAACATAACGTGTCAGATGGTGAGTACAATTAATAAAGCCAAGTCAAGGGGGATAGGAATTGGGGGTAGGGGAGCTCTTTATATGGGGTGGTGATATAAGACCTCAATAATAGAGTGAAACTTGAGCAAAGATCCAAAGGAAAAATGAGGGAGAAATCAGTATGAATATATAGGGGGAATCTTTTTAGTAGAAAATGGTTGCATTTGATAAATGTGAGACTGGTGAAGATTTTGCAAGTGGGTGGACTTTTTTGTGGGTTTGCAGTTTGATTTTAACTATTTGCGTACTTCTGCTTTAGAAGACTGTGATTCTAGTAGAGTGACATCAACTTATTATCAAATATAGTACCAAGTTCAAACATTCCACAAAGCATTGCTCATCTCTTCCACTGAGGGAAAAGCTATACTTCTTCACGCAGCAGGTTATAAAAAATTCGCTGATGGTAAGGGGAATGAGCTGAGTACATAATGGCCCACCTTCACTATAAAGTACTTTCTTTGTTTCAGAGTCAGCTATGAAATTATTATAATAGTCTCAAACCTTTAATTTGGATTATTTGAGTAAATGTAAAATGCCCAGTAATGTACATAATTACTTCTTTGTTAAGATGTCAACCTTTGTTTTTTAGTTAAGAGTTAATGAACCTCGATAATTAGCCAACAGTCTTTGAGGCAGAAAGTGGGATGGACACCATCAGTACTCTTAACCCAAAACAATGAAATCATTGTTGGCAGTAGGATCTGTTGCCTTTTGTTCAGATAATTTTCTTCTTGGAAAATACACGCATATTTTGGATTTAATGGTGCCAGAAATATTAATAAGTTAGCTATAATTATTCCTGAACCCGTTTGTCACTCAAACAATAAAAGTGAACTTATCTATAAAGTTAGACAACTAAAATGGTATAAAACACAGTAATACTTTCATGATAAAGGTTTTTTTCTTAAGTCAACAGTAATTCTGGCCCTTGAAAGAAAATGAACTGTATCATATAAAATCTCATTCTGTAGCTAGTAATACTTTCCAACAGGAAGGCTTGGGGTGAGTATGTCTTCATTTGAGAACAATGTAATGTAAGACTGGACACTTAGAAAGTAGAAATTTGAGTTACCTCAGTAAATTTGTTTTTAACGTTAAAAGGAATCTTGGGAGGTCAGTGGTGCCCAGTGGAAGGCAAGAACTTGGATCAGGCAGGAAAACCACCCACATGTGGCTTGTAGTATTTTCAATTAACCTCTCTGCCTAGGTTCCTCTCCTTGTCAGGTGGGAATAATAGTAATTGCTACCTTCCATGGGAAGTAAGCCTGTGCTTTGACATCTCTGGCCAAAGATGCTATATCAACACAAATGATTAATATTAGGACATAATGCATGTATGCACATAAAACACCAGCATAGTGCTCTTTTAATGTTTATATAGTATCTATAAATACTGCTCTTCCATGCTCTCTCTTCACTTTAGGTCAGAGAAGAATAATCATAGCATGTCACTAATCCAATTTCTCAAAATATGGAGGAAATACATTTTTTAAAGCTCCATATCATCCTTTTGAGAAGCACTAAACCTGCTAATCCCTCCTGGTCTCTGTAGCAATTGCACAATGGCCCCCCATATTAAGCCTTTGGCACCTTTTCAAATGTTAGCTAAATTACTTTTTCTGGAAACTGGAACCATCAGGGGAAGGCCAGGGGAATGAAACTGGCTAGCGATATTAAAATTTTGGTTGTTTAATATTTAACTGGCTCTCAACAACGTGTTGAAGTGCTATCTAAACAGATAATTAGCTAGTCGCTGCACAGTGGGCTTTATCTAAATTTAGCAGTGAAATTAGGTTTAGAGAATGAGAAAATAGGAAAAGAAATTTTCTCAAGGGAAACGGTGGTGTCAGCACAGCTGAGGAATGTCACAATAGCTACATTTCGTCCATTATGATCATCATCAGGGGATCTCCGGGAGAGACGCAGGACAAGGTTTATTCATAAGTGCATCCTGAGGATAGGCGATGGAAAAGAGTGGCCGCAGGAGACAGGCTGGATGAGAGACAGAGATAGAAAGAGAGAAAAAGAAAAACAGAGGATGGAGGAAGAGAGGTACTAAGCCGATCGCTGGGAGACAGGATGGGAGGCGGAAGTTGAGAAAGAAAAAAGAGCGGTAGGCAGGGGTAGAATGGTGTGTAGCTTTGGAGGTGAGTAAAACACTGTAAACCAGGGCTGGCGGGGGGAGCCTAGTGATGGAAGGGGTGTGATCTTGGCGGCAGGCAAGCATTAGTTTAGCTGCGACAGGCGGCTAAATCCTTGTTCGACTTTCCTTCTTATTGGGAGCACATTTCTGGCTATCTGGTGGAGATGCCAGGACCTACATAAAATTGTGTCCGGACTGAGGACGTGTGTCCTCTGCCTCCAGTCCCTCTCGGGACAGTCCAAACTGTCCTCCGCCCCTGCAGAACCGCCAGTGGCTGTGGCTTCAAGGTCAGGCCACCAGGGCTGTGGGTGGCGGGCGGATGAAGAGGGCAGGGCGCGTAGCCACCTGGGGTGAGGGAGGGTCGTGGTGGATCCCAGACCTGTTACGGGCAAATGCTTAACACTTCCCGAGGTTGCTTTACCGCGATCAGTTCAGAGGAAAACAGGCAATGAAAATAAAATTACACGTGCGAACATGCAAATGAAACAAAACCAAAGAAAAACACCACCGCACTCGAGGCGCTCCGATGGGGGAAATCCATGGCCTCCTGTTACCAGTTGCCCGGCGAGGACAGCGGACAGCTCGGCGGCCGGAGAAGCAAGGGCGAACAAGCAAACCTTCTGGGGCCCCTCTTCTCGCCTGCCTCCGCTGACCCTTCCACCAAGCCGCCCTCCCAAGAGAAAGGAGCAAGAAAAATGCCTGTGCAAACAAGCCTCGGAGGGCTGGGGGAAGTGGAGCTGGAAAGAAGGGAGGGATTCGGAGAGCGCCGCTGTCCCGGGAAGCAGGAAGGAGAAAGTCTCTCCTTCAGCCCCCGGCGTCCCCGGCGAAGAGCGAGATGACTAGTTCTGCAGGCTATGTACAGCCTCCTAGACAGGGACCTTTAGCGTGGGCAACGGAAGGGCAGCCCCATCCTGCGTTCCCCTCCTAACTCCCCCCCTCCTGTCCCGGCTCCCCGCCAGAGGGAGAGCGCGGCCCGGGCGAGGCGAGCAGCCAGCACGATTGTCCCGCCGCCCTCCGCCTCCGTCTGCGCCCGGGCCGCGGTGGACCCGCGAGGGGCGGAGTGGGCGAGACCATTGGAAACGTTGGGAAGGGGGGAACGAGGCGGGGACGAGGCAGGAACGAGGGGCGGGGCCTACTAACCTATTCCAGATTTTCCTGTCTTTTTGAAAGCCCTGCTTTGGGAGAAACCCCTTATCAAAGTGGAGAGAAGAGATTTTTTTTTTTTTGAAGTGGGAGGAGCGTGTGTAGGAGGGCGGGGTGGGAGGAGACGCTGCGTGCAGTCCGCGATCAGACGGCAGCTGGAGTTGTGCGGGGAGGGCGGGCGAGTCCCAGCGCCGGCTCTGAGGGTCGGCTTCCTCTCCCCCTCCCGTGCGGGGCGGGGTGGTGCGTTCCGAGTTCCCAGGAGTTCGAGGCGGGCGGGTGCCTGGGGGAGGGGAGTGGCGGCGGCGGCGGGCGGCTCCCGCCTCAGCCTCGGCAGTGGCGTCGGCGACGGCGGAGTCGAGGCAGCCGTGAGCGCTCCGCTCAGTGTCAGCCGGCGGCGACGGCTCAAGAACTGGGAGTTGGGGACCCGTGCGCCGGACCTTCCGCCGTCGCCGCCGCGTCGCGGCCGCTGCTGCCGCCGCCCAGAGCCTAAGGCGCCGGGGCCGGGGGAGCCGGGGGGGGGCGGCGGGCGAGCCAGCGGGCCGGGGGGAGGGTGGGGGATGGCGCGGACCCCGGGGCCGGCCCCGCTGTGTCCCGGAGGCGGCAAAGCACAACTTTCCTCCGCTTCTCCCCCCGGGGCCGGACTCCTGCTGCCGCCCCCGACGCCACCACCGCTACTGCTGCTGCTCTTCCCGCTGCTGCTCTTCTCCCGGCTCTGTGGTAGGTGAACCTCGGCGTCCGGCGCGGGCTGAGGGAGGCGCGACCTAGGGTCCCGGCGCCGTGGCCGGCCGGCGCGGGCCGCTCTCCGAGGCGGCGAGGCAGTTGTGCTCGGCGGTTGGCTGCGCGAGCGGGTGCCGCCGACTTTGGCTGGAAACTTTTCGCCGCGCCCGGGGCGAGGCCGGGGAAGGGCCGGGGCCAGCGGGTGCAGCGCCGGCCGCCCGCTCCGCTCCCCTCCCCCGCTCACCGCGCCGTTGCCCGACGCCGAGTGCTGGGTGCGCTGGGAGCTCCTCCGTGTTTGCTCCGGGGACCGTTACCTCCTCTCTCTTTCGCGGAGGAAGCCGAGAGCGCGGACTTCTGGGCTGGGGCGAAGGTGCCCGGCTGCACGGTTGCTGCCTCCTTTCCCTCCCTCCCCCCCGCCGTGAAACTTGAGCTCTGAGCCCGGATACCTTTTGGGACCAGAGCCCGACGGATGAAACCTTTGGCTCCCAACCCCTCGTCGCCTTCCACCCTGGAGAAGGCACCATGTTAGCCCACCCTACAGCATCCCCTGCAGTCAGTTTTCTACGATCGTCCGGCCCGGTCCTGCCCTCGCAGCCTCTGGGTCGCGTTGCATTGAGCCCGTCGCTGCCTTCCAGTTTGTGGGACGTCTCTCACACTGTCTATGTTTATTTTAGAGAACCCTGTTTGTCTTCGGGACTTCGATTTATGTGTTAAATACCTGATTGCATCTACTGTGCCCTGGCTGTTGTGATCAAAACAAACCCCACGCCTCTTCCCGTCTCTTTCTTCCCTCGTTTTGTGTTACAGCTTTCCTGTCACATTTGGGAGTTAGTCTCTTTGTAGATTCTGTTCCTAGGTATCGGAGACTAGAAGTACACTTGTTAAGGATAGTGTAAAAAAAAAAAAAATCTGAAATCTCTTAAGGATCGTGTAAAAAAATCTGATCTCTCACGCAAGAGAGATGGACGTAAGTGATCATTAGTGGAAGGCGGTGATTTGGGAAAGTAAGGTCACCAGTCTTTGGGGATTAGCTCTGTGTGTCTTTTGATAATACTGAAATACTGCAGGAAGTTATTCATTTCTAAGACACTTACTTGGTGAGGAAGGTGGAGAAGCAAAAACTTAACGCTTGCTAAAGATTGGTTTACCCAAGACATTTTTATTGGTACATTAAGGCTGCTGTTGGATCTGTGTTTAATGAAATCGTAAATGAAACCAGAAGTTTTATCAGTATTTATTGAAAGGAGAGATGTGTGCAGATTTCTGGGATGGTGTGATTTAGAAGAAAGAGCGTCCTGTTCCGGGAGGTGTGTCAGGGTAGTTGGTTATGAGGGAGGCAGAGTTTTCAAGAGATTGAGTGCCCCTTATAGGCTGAGAATTTCCTCTACCAGTTCACCACCACGTTTCAAGCATTGTAATGAAAGTTTCTGATTTACAGAGTATAGTCTGATAAACTGCTTGTTATCTAATCTACATTGTTTCTGTAGCTCCACTCCCCAGCTGTTTGGTTCCACAACACAGTTCTTAATGCTGTTACCTCTTTGAATTGATTTAAGATTCTAGGTTGAATTTGTGTACTGTTCTTTTCCATTAGGGAGGATTGTGGATTACAGTTGGGTGGGAGAAAAGTTGGAGGGAGTGTTAACAGTTTACTAGCCTGATTTAGATTGTGTTAAGGACCCAGTGAATAGTACTTGTATCTCCAATAAAGGCTTATCTAGCTAGGCAAAGCCTTATAGAAGACTGAAACTAGGTGGTATGTGCGGATAATCAAGGATATAGAATTTGAGTAATAATTTCATAGTGCTTGTACAAGTGAGGTGTTGATTACTTTTGAAGGAATGCATTGGTTTTCATGTGGAAGAAGAAAGGAGCTTTTTTTTTTAACCTCTTCAGTAATGTCCTATCGGAGGGGCTTGATATTTTTACTTTAGGTCCTAAAAATTCACGTAAAATAGGCAAATGGATTGTGATTTAGAGCAGGTGTAAATTGAAGTTTTTAGAGTCAATTCTGCTTGTAGTTGTAGGGACAGGCACTAGCTTTGTGTTATTCTGTGCCCTGTTCTTTTAAAAAGCTTCCTTTTCTGGCTTATAGTGTTAATAACACCCTAATTTGTGAACCCTTATGACAAGTTTTTTTTTCCATCAACCTCTCTCTATTTTAGACAGTCTTTGAGTAGGGCACAGTTGTCCTGACTTAGGGATGTTTAATAAGTATGGAAGTAGAATTTTCTTCATGTAACCTGTTTGTTGATCTGACATTCATAGTACTACTGACAAGGTTTTATGTGTACTATTGTTTGAGTAGTCAGTTTTAGAGTTGAAAAGATTTTTAGGCTTTAAAGAGATGATTATCTGATTTGTTAATCAGAATCAGAATCCTTGTTCAACATTTACGGATATTTTTTCCTTTTTGCTCTTATTTTTGATACGCTGCTTATGTAAATTTAGCACGACCTTAGCTATGCTTAACATCTGCAATATCATCTATTAGTGCAAGGTAATTTTTATACCATGTTCATTTGCTTAAAAAAAAAAAAAGAAAACCCTTGCAAATGGTAGACTTGATACTCTGAAAGCTGTAAAAAATGACATCATTTATGTTGTTTTGCGGGTGTACACTGTCTTATATGAAGAACTGAACTTTTAAAATGTTTACAAACTGTCAAGTTTTTTGCTTTTTGTTTTTTAAGCCTAAGAAATTCCTAGGTATAAAGGTCAAGGGGGCTAGATTTGCAATACCATGTGACTTCGTAAATCTCATTTATTTAAAGCTCATTATTCGGGAATTCCGTATATATCTTTTTAACTGAAGTAGAGTTAACACACGATGTTATATTAGTTTCAGCCATATTTTTCTATGATGGCAATAATTAATTCATAGGTGGTTAGATTTATCTCACTTTCCTTCCACCATTTTTCTTGAAAGGTAGAGAATACTACCTGGGATATGGTATCAATGAAGGAAGGGGAAGGTAAAGGCTTCTTGACCTTTGTCAATTCCTATTTGAAACTAGGATTCTATTACTTTGCATTTTCATCAAGGTTTTATCTGAAGAAGAATGTTAGAAGGTGATAAAAAAGAAGATCTAATATTATATTGAACCTTGAATAGCACTTAATAGTACTTTCTGTATTCTGGCACTTGTTAGGCACGTGGGGACATAAAACTTGAGTATGGCAGAGTCCTGGCTTCAAGGAACTTACAGCATTGTGATGATAGACATGAAAGAAATAGTTGTTCATAGGACAGTGCAGTGTTTATGATAGAGATCTTTATGAGGTACTGTGGGGTTGCCCAGAAGAGGGATACCTAACTCATTAGGTAAAGATACATGAATGTGAACTGAGAAAAAAAGAATTACTTTTTAAAATATCAGTTGAGGGGCACCTGGGTGGTTCAGTTGGTTGAGCATCCGACTCTTGATTTCAGCTCAGGTCATGATCTCAGGGTCCTGGGTTCTAGCGGATTCTGCTTCTCTCCCTCTCCTTCTGCCCCTGCCTCTCAAATAAATAAATAAATAAATCTTTAAAAAAAGTAAAAAATCAATTGAGTCAGATCTTATTGAGATTAGGCATTGTGGTAGGTGGTACAAGTTTGCTTTCTCTGTCTCTGCTCTTTATGGTTTAGATACTAAATAGGCAGTTTGATTCTGAAAAAAGGCTGTCACTAGCCTTTTGAATCCTTGGCAAGCTGTTTAACCTCAGTAAACTTAAGGTTTTTCATCTTTAAAAAAAAAGATGTTATCACCTTGCCTATAGAGTTGTTGAGAGGATTAAATCAAAGAATAAAACAGGGTGCCTGGAATATAATGAACATTCCAATGTTAGCATTTATTAGATTGCACCTTATAAACTAACCTGCCTAGTGTTTGTCATTCTTAAATTCTACTCTGGTTGTCTTGAATAATTGGGTTTTCAAGGTAATTGACCTACTCTATTTGCACTTTACATCTTTATTTTGAGTGTATAATGCAGTCAGTGTTCTTCAAATATTTGTTAAATTTACTTCAGATAAATATTCAGAAGACCAATTTTGAGAATATTAGGATACAGTGAAATTAACTAACTTGTGTAATTGTATGGAACCAAGTTGAATCTTCCCTTGGTGATATAGAATGCCTTTTAAGATTTGGCAGTTCCATAAGGTTGCTTGGAATGTTAGTGTTCATACTGAAAATGTAGAGTTGGAGAAAAGTGTCACAATTAAGTTTATCAAGTTATCAGATTGGGGCCTATAATACACACTGCCTATATAAATCTTTCTGCATCCTAAACAGATATAATTGGAAAGTGAACCAAATTTAGAAGCAAGCTAAAAGACCCAAATCTTTCATTCTTGCATTTAGCTGTAGCATCAGAAATAGGAATTGGAAAAAGCTGGGCAATTATATATTTGTGTGTGCATGTATGTATTTACAGTCTTGCCCTGTTTATTTCACCTATGCTTCCATATATTTATATATGTTTAATTTAGTGATTCAGCAACTCTGATGTACATTTTGTATCAGTGTAGTAAGAAGTAAAACTTACGGCTTATTGCCTATTGTTTCAAAATTACTGAAAAGAAGCTGGATGGGATACCCGTTTTAAAAAATAGAGTATTTTGACATTTTGTAATTTGGCCCTTTAAAATTAGAGAGTAAATAACATTTTTATAGCATATTCTATACTCTGTTAAGGTGCTCATAACAATTCATAGTAAAGACAAACTAGTTTGTGAAAGATGTGACATTTAATTAATAATGGCTATTAATATATAAATTTAGGATAAAATCACATAATCCTTAAGCTAGTAATGGGATGACTACTAGATGATTTTATGTACCAGGCATTCAGATCCAAAAATCTAAGTACGATAAATGTCATACTTTTGATTACCTTTTGTATTTTTATCTAAAATTATTTAAAGTCTTGAATATCATTTCCTGAATATTATAAAACTTAAGATTTCTATTTTTATATAAGTTCTGACATATTTAATCATTTATTTAAATAAA